CTGCCTGCCTCCAGCGATTGCACACTCTAATGGTGAAAACAGAAAAGAACACATGAACTCAGATTTTCAACTATTTAATTTTTCTTTTGCATGTAGATATCCTTTAGAATCCAGCCAGTTTTCTGTCCTTATAAATAAAGTTTTATTGGAACACTGATACACCCATTTACTCAGTTATGGTTGGTGGTGGCTTCTCTGTTGCAAAGCACCAGTGGGTAGTTGCAGCTATTCATCTGGCCTGTAAAATCTGAAGTACTTCTCTCTGAACCTTATAGCAAGAGTTTTCTAATCCCTCCTTTAGAATTATTTTTAGTCTTTACACAGGGGAGGAAATAACTGCAGATAAGGAAGCACAGATTTAAATTTGATGTATGGAAGAAGTTTTCCCTGAGACAAAACAAAACAAAACAAAACAAATAATGACAGAGGTTGTCACCAGAAGTATAGGACAGTGTCCTTGGGTTTCCCCTTCCTTACTTACTCTTCCAGTCTTCAATGACTAAATTCTTTTCATTACTTTAATTCATGACTCTAACACCAGCTCCTCCATGGTACTTTCTCACATCCTCCCAAAGTGATCTCAGCTCCTGTTCTTATAGCACCACATGTTTATCTCCATGTTGTGTTATTTTACTTTTCTTATTTATTAGGTTAGCTGCCACAGAAAACTATGAGCACTTGCTGTATCAGCCAGAGGTAGTATGCTCCAATCATTCAAAGAAGGGGAAGATTTACTAAAGATTGTCAGGGCTGTGGAAAGCCAACAAAAGATGAACTGGCAACATCCAAAGGCCATTCCCATGAAGAAGTTTGAATGAGGTATGGGGACCGAGAAGGTGACAGAACACAGAGAGCTGTGGTTACAACTATAACTGGAGTGTGAGAAAGGGTTGCCCAACCAAAGCTATAACCTGAGACAGAGGAGTCCAGCCACTGCAATGCATGAGGAGGCAGGGAGAGAGCAGGAGAGCAAACACCTCCACCTGCTAGATCCTCCCTCTGGACATACTCTAACAAGATGCCAGAAGCGAGGGAGCCTCCTACCAAGGTTCGTGAGGTGCACGGCTGAGTAGCAAAGGATGAAGAGTACATTGAGAGGGAGAAACAGAAGTTCTACAGCACATTCCCATAGCAGGTTTTCAATGATGCTGTTGGACCCACTTACTTATGATGAAGTGGAAGGGCCTGATTACTGTAATGATTTGGATGCAAATCGTTAAGAGGCCAAAGGATGAAATGGAGGATTTACATAAATCCATTTCTGCCCCATGCATCTATCAAAACTGTACTGCTGTCAGAAGTGAGGATCTAGTACAGTCCACATTTCATCTCCCTTTGGTGGAATAGGAAAGAAAGAATATACCAAGAAGGAATCTATCCGAGGAACTGTTACTCTCATCTGTACCTAAAAGCAAAAAGTACTTTTCCCCAAATTAAAGGAGAATGTTTGCTATTGAAATGTGAGCTGGAAAAAAAAAATCATTCAGTCCCCAGCCTTCTCATCAGTTAAATGCTATCCCAGCTACAAGTGTCAAACAGCTCTACATGAAGCCAGGGAATGTGTTTTGCAAATAAAAAAGCACAGTGTGAACTGCTGACTTTTTTGATCAAAAGGCATCCTGAGGAGGGCTGAACAGTTTTGAGTCAAGAAGAAGCTTCGATTTCTGGGGTGATTTCTATTGTTATCAGAGAGAAAATCCTACTGACCATGAATAGAAGACTACTTGACTCCTGCCTGCTGGTGGAGGAAACCTGTCACCACCGGCCTTTCTGAGTTTCACCCCCCCCCTCACTGGAACATATTTTCCATTTCAGTTTCATTTATCTATTATTTTCTCCTTAAAAAGGGTAATTTTTAAAGTTAAAAAAAATCATCAACATCAAAGAATGGTACCAGGGCACACACATATGTGAGTGAGTGCTCTCTCACACACCTACCCACATATGCACACACCCAAACCCACACCCTCACACAACACACTCTCACACTCTCGAACCTCTCCCGTCAGGTTCTGAATTTGTGACTAAGGACCACAAATTTAATTCCCTCAGTAGGAGCTTTTTGCAATATCTGGACTTTAAGGGTTTTTTTTTTTTTAAATTCTGAAGTTCTTCCAGCCTAAAAATTTAAAAGTTGTTGCAAGGGAGCTATAATTTCTAACTCAATGCTTCATGATTTGCTTATGTAAAGTAAAAAGTGTAATGAACTTAATAGTACCTTATTCTTGGAGGACATTATGAGGAATTTTCTTCTGCAAAATATGCAAGTCAAAATTACCTCTGGGCCTCCTAACTCTCAAAAATATGGGTCATAATGATTATTGCAGTAGAATTTCAAGACTTAAAAATTTAATATGCTTCTCTTTCTTCTAGTGAGTTTCCCAAAAGGACATCTCCTCTTCCTGGGATAATATGTAATAAATGATAAAAAACTGAAGTGACAGGTGGAGATGCACCTTCTACTCTTGGTGTAATCCTAGTTATATGACTTCAGGAGAAACAGTTAGCCTCTCTGGGCCCTAAACTATTTCTTCTACAAGGTGAAGGACTAGATAGAACTCATTCCCACTTTAGCATTCTATGATTCAAAACAGAGAATAGAAAGGAACAAAATAATAAAATTAAAATTAAAAAATATGACTTGGAATAATGCCACGTTCTTTATTTTATTTTATTTTCAGAAGTCTAATCTGGAATCATCCCTGCCTGCTTCTTGCCTAATGTCTGCATGGTTTCAGCACGGAGCATGTTCCAGTCCTGTAAAGGACTTTTACTTCATCCCAGTCTAGGTCTCTTCCTGACAATCACAACAGAGCTCTTTCAAGGCATTTTCGACAGATCCCCCTCCCAAAGAATCAACACAAACACCACCTTCTTGCTCTCATTATCCCAGCAGCAGTATCATAAAAAAAGAAGAGAACATAACACAAAATTTGTAGTCACTTGGCCAAAGTGGTATTCTGTTCAACAACATTTAAGCACCCTCACATGCATAGTCACAGGATGGTCCCAATCTGGATGTGCAGATGTAGCAGTCTTCTTCAAGAAGACAAGAAAGATAATTCACTCAGGCAAAAACGCTCATAAGCATGATAAAAGGACATTTAACAAAATTAAGATTCCCAGGTGGTACAAACAATAGGTTCTCATTTTCACAGTGTTCTATAACAGTCAATTCACAGCTCACCACTAGTCTCCAGGTAGAGCCATATGCCAATAGGAAAGCAAGCTTGGTTTGGAGTTTTCAACTCACACTAATAATAATGTAGCAGGATTTTACTTACACCCATATGCAAGCTTTCTCTAGGCAAAATTTGCAATGTGGGCAAAAGTTTCATGGATACTATTTCCTCTTTCTGGGACTTGCAGGCATCCAATACCTCTATGGTCACCTATCTCCCCCTGCTCCACCTTGTTCCACACAGCCCAGCCCTTCTTGCATTCAATGTTCTATATCCTTTTATTTGATAATTCTCTCAACAAAGTTCTGCTCATCTGGATGACTTTTGGAAATGATCCAAAGCATTTTATTAATGAGAGCCACTATGAATTATTTAAAGACAATAGCTTAGTATGTTTGCTTTTATAGGGCATTTGCATACAAGTTGAGACCCAAAGCAAGAATCTGTGGTTTTGGAGACCAACTGACAAGGATATTTCTGGGTTGAGGGAATCATTTCTGAGTTGCTCATATGATACCATATGGCTGTCTTTGTTCCTGCCTAAGCCCAAGACAGACCATACTGGTGTGTTGCTCTACAAAGGAGAGGCTGAAAAATGATCCCTTTATTGCAGGTTTTCCTAGAAGTTGAAAAGAAATAGACACAAACATACACACCATATTTGGACCACTTCCTACCTGGAGAAAGCAAGATCTAAGAGATGAGGTCACAATCACATGGAGAAGAACTTAAAACACTACCAAAGTCCTTGTTCTCTACAGGTGTACTGGTCAATGCACAGCACACATAGTCATAGAAATTGATTCTGAATAACAAGAGAACTTGACACATCACATACACATAAACCTTAATGCAATCCTTTTCTCAATTCCCAGGAATCTACATCCATGAACAGTTTATGGAAAGGAAATGTTCACTCTTATGGGGTAAAGAACTAATCTCTACACAATAGAGTAAGATGTATAGCTGCAGAGTTTAAAGGTACAACTGATAAATCAATTCAACAATATTTTATTGGACACTTTCGTGCAGCAGGCTTGGGGCCAGCTGCTATGAGTATACAAATGCATAAAGAGCATCCCCATCAAATATGCAAAAGAAGGTACCAAGCTAACCTTCTGCTTTAGTAGTTACATGAAAGTGAAAGGAGTGGCTTGCTTGATTTCATTTCTTGCTCTATTCACATGCCTCATAGAACACAACAGGTGACCTACACTTTAGCCCAGAACCTGGGAAAACGTGACCAAGCTTCCAAAAACAGTGACTTAGTCTGTTTCTTACACTTACTATAGTGATTCTCAAACCTGTAAACAAATCTAATCAGCTTGTTAAGAAAGATGTTTGTCAGCACTAAAATTCTTAGACAGCTTTTAGATAAGTGAACTAATTTATATTCAAGAAGATCTCTGACACTTTCTCAATTCTTCAGTATTTAAGTTTGCAATGAATTCTTGTTCAACTTAGCCTCAAAGTTAAGATAAATGGGTGATGGAGCAGCTATATATAGGCTTGGCATTTGGCATAGTGGTACAGTAGTGTTTTTGTATAAGCTAAAATCGATTTCAGCTGGAATTAATGTAATTATATATAACGTTGACAGACTATGACATTTGCCTATTAAGACACTACACAAACATTCCAATAATTTGCTGGCTTTTGAGTTCGTAAAGTAAAAATGAAACAAAATCCCAAGGGATATTGCTAATGGGGTAACTGGAATAGATGTTTCAAAAGCACGGGGTTCAGGAAATAACAGTCAAAGAATAATGTACTTTAAGCCAAAACATATAGAGTGGTAAATGAATATTTAGTACTTACCACAAGACTGCTATCCAGGGACAGCCTTTTTCCAAAGTCCCTTTTTTCAAGTTGTCTCTTTCCCTCCATGGGTCAGGTTATTTATTTTCCTTTGTGATTTATAAGAATCCCCCGTCTGTTTCCAGGGTCACTGCGAAAAGGGAACATGTGTTTTACTATCCAAGCGCTCAGTGTTTAGATCCTTGTTTTTCAGCTTTCCAACCAGAAACAAGTGTTGAAGCCAAAAAAATACCCAGGCCCAAGAAATAAATATAGAACTGAGATCTCTCAACTCAAAACATCTCTCTGGGTTACAAATGTTAGAGTTGTCTTTTTGGAGGCCCCTGTGTTTTTACAGGTTTTGCTAATGGAGTTGGGGAATGGGTTTGCAGGTCGAATCAGCAGACTGTGGAAAAAAGCAAACAGTCCGTTTCATGCCACACTTGCTCCACACCCGTTCTCTCTATCAGCCAGAATTGTTCTGTTACTATGCACATAGATGCTGTCTGCAAATTCCATGAGATCAAACTGACAAAACCACACTCCATAACCAAGAATTATTGAGCCCAAGGCCCAAGGAGGATTGAAATGTGAACATTATTGTCAATATTTAATTTAAAAATATGTCATTTAAAAATATTTGAGGAACATTATAAGATACGTTCCTTTTGGGACAGATTGATTCAGAATGAATGGTGGATGATGTCATTATTGTCCATGAGTATTTATGAAACAACCACTGCACTGTAACATGTAGTTCATCTCTGCACTCCACTGAGATTGCTTGCTCTAGAATGATGAAGTATTCTGCTTAATAAACATGTGCCCTGTATATTAAGTGCTAGCTTCCAATTTTCACCGTGATGTAAAAAAATTTGAAATAAAAGAAATGGGTTTAAAATGAGAATTTGTTTAGCCTTTAAAGTGACCATGGATAAGTCATTTAGCCTCTCTGCAACGTGTTTTTCTGAACTGCTAAAACACAATGACGGGAATCAAATAATACCTGTGAAATGACTGAATGGTAATATTTTATAGTTTTTATATACATTATAATTACCCACAGATGACATTTATAAACAATGAGCATTAACTGATATAAAAAAAAGAAAACAGTCCTGATGATTCAGAAAACACTTGGGGATACAGAAATTGTTCATAATTCTCATAAACAAAGTCATGGTACTACTGACACAGAAGCATTTAACAAAATACTGAATTAATCAGTTTGTATAAAACCAAAAAGAAATATGTTCTACCACTCTCAATGGCTCCAAGTCTGACAAGCTCAAACAGTCACACCCAGAGAAAGAGGGATATGACGAGTATGCCCATGTCGGTGTATGCACAAAGGACAGTCCCTTGCAGGAAGCTGATGGTCCCCCTTTCTAGCTTGCTCCCTCCTCCATCCTCATCTTGCAGCTCTCCCTTTCGGGAATACTAATTTCACCACCTTACCAGCCCATTCAGAAACTCCTAGGAGTCCTTTCAGAACTCGGGAGAAAATTCAAAAATTTCAACATCATTTTCAAGGTCTACTTCCTGCCAACTAGTCCTTTACAGTCCCCAGACACACTCGTAACATTCCTGAGATCAAAATTCTCACCTAAGTCTCCCCTAATCCTCTCCATACTCCGGGGCCTGGCTCAGGTCCCACCTCCCCCCCAGGACAAACCCATTTGGTAATGATTCCCTTTCTCTCCCAATTTTCATAAGAGTCCTTAGGGATTTTTTTGTCTTATTAATCATCTTAGTCACCTAGGATAGTTCTTTAAATACATTAAGTTCTTAATATATTGTTGTTGGCAGGAGCTAGTAGTTGGAAATAAGCAAACAAAGCCCAAGCATTATTTTTCAGGAAAAAGACTATAGTACTATTACTATAGTCAAAACTATTAGTCAACAAAAATTTGTTTCAGAGACTCCCCTACTTTATAGGGCAGCCTCCCTTTTTGCCTTGGTGCCTATATTCTCTGATATCTCCAAAAATTCTTTCTCTTGAGGATGTCATGATGAGTCCACTCAGATGAATGGGCTGCCATATTTCCCATTCTGTCAAGAACATGCCCTCTCAAGTCTTAATTCTGAAGAGCAAAGGGGTTTGATAGATCACAAACCCTTTGGCATTTGGCACATATGTAGAGAGTACCTACTATATGGAATGCACTGTCCCTGGATATTGGTGACACAGCCATGTGTAAGAAAGACTAGGGTCCTGTCGTCATGGAACTTACATCCTACTATTGGCATTCAGAAAATAAATAAGCAAACAAACAAGAGAAGATCAGTTTCTTAGGCATGAAAAAGGTGGGAAGAGAATGTGTGACAACACTGCTTATTTGTAAGAAAACCCAGCTGCTGAATTTTATGCTTCATCACAGGCTGGTGGGGGTGTTGTTTTGGGAAGTGGGGATCCTTTTCACAGTACTGTGATGTACCCATATGAAAGACATGACCCCCATCAGGTGGTATAGCAAGTGTCAAGAACATGGGCTTGGAAACTTTTGGGGAATAGAGTTAGGATAGGAGCCAGCCATGGGAGAGATGAGTAAGTTTTACCCCAGGTAGAGGGACCAGGAAAAGGAGCTGGAAAAGAGTTTTGCATGCCCTGGAAAACAGGGTCACTTTCTTAGGAATGAAGAAAGCTAGAAGGAGAATGTGTGAGAACAGTGCTCAACTGTAGGCCACAGCCACAGGCTCCTGTTCTCAGCATAAAGGTTAATCTTAGGGTTTGAATCTCTTCATTCTTAAATAGATGATAACATTTACCAGATTATTTAACATATTTAATCCTCAGTTGATTCAGCTTCTTCATAGTAGGGTTGTTGTGATGATAAATGGACATTCCATTTAAAGAGTTTTGCTAGTGAGTGATATATAGGTAAGTTTTAAATATTAAATATGTTGATTATCTTTTCTGGTAAATGTAATCAAATTCATTAGGAGAGACTCTAGCTTCTGGATTTTAGTTCTGTTAGAGGCTGATGGGGCTGCCACTTCGGAAATGGGGATTCTTTTGACAGTTCTCAAATAGCCAAGTCTGCCTATAGAGAAAGCTGACTTAACTGCTTGATGTGATCAATTTCTCTTCATACTTCATGGTGTAATACAGATAGAAATAGTATTCACATTATTTAGCAACCACATTGCATGGGCATGACAAATCATAAAGGTGTATTCTGATCAGGACTGACCACAGTAACAAACAGTATGGCCACAGTAGTGAGTCCTGGCCAGTTGTCAGCCCAGGTGTATACACTATCTTGTTAGTTATCCCATAGGACAATCTTGGGAAGGACCAAAGAAGTTATTCAAATGGATCAAAGCAAGACTACCTAAAAGAAATAAATGACATCCAGGATGTGGTAATATGAAGAGGGGAGAGGTCAACAAAGGAAAAATCACAAGGCTGATTCTCACACTCTTATCTCTTGCACTGTTGGGAAGAAAATTAATTTTGTCACTGTTCTGGAAGCTGGAAGTCCAAGATCAAGTTTCTGCATTCCTTTAGATGGTATAATGCCAAATGCAGAGCAATGTGGCACACATTCAATGAGCATTTACTGTTTGCATGCATAATGAATGGGCAAATGTTTGCAGCTGTACGTGTGAGAGATGAAGAACAGGGTAGTAATATAAAGTCATCAAAGGGAAGAAACACTACACATACTTGCAATGGCGAAGTTACTTGTTTCTTTAGCCAAACACACACAGACACACCCAGTCTCAAAAAGCTCCTATAATGTTTTTAAAATACCAGAAACCTAAAAATTACTCTTTAGGACTTGCCTAAATCTACAAATTGCCATAACACATTGATGTTCTTGTCTTTTCTGTGTCTGTCTTCTCACATCTCTGGTTGTAAAAGAATGTTCTTCTGATTCAGGGTGATGGGATGGAAGCTCTTCCCTCCCTCCATGAGAAGGAAAAATGGTCAGGCAGTTGAAGAAAAGCAGGAAATTAAGCCTCCTCTTATTGACTAATGGTTATTGATACTGATCTTCCCTTCCAACCCCCCAGACATCTCTAGTTGATGAAAGTAGTTCTTAGATTTCTATAGAAATCTGAAGAAATTTAAACTGGCCTTTATTAATAAACTCTGTTTTGGAAAAAAAATAAAATTCCTCGCAGATAGTGATAGCCTTTGAGTCTAGACAGATTTTTAATATTTCTAAAACTGCCACTGATTTTTATTTTCTAATAGTCTTTGTAAATAGACTGTATGATTTTTAGGAGACACTAACCAAACGGCACATTTAACTAAGTCTCAAAGGCATATTTCCTCACATCTAGTCACATACACTTAGATACACACTCAAATACATCCTCACATATATACACTTATTCACTCAGATACACTCACACTCAAAAATTCATGTACCTACACATTCACTCATATATGCATGCATGTACACACTGCGATATGCATGTACACACTCAGATACACTCACACAGACACAGACACTCATTCACTGAGATACACACTCAATACTTTCTGAGCATTGTTTTCTCCACCCCAGTTTTACCTCTCTGATTCCCTCGCTCCCAGCCTCTGCTTTAATATATTAATAGTGGTGCTAGAAGAAACAGAGCAAAATGGTAGAGTCAAAGGACTGTGACTCAACCCTTAGAACATTGGGTTCCCAGCTCTCCTTTCCCTATAAATTTGAGCAAATCCCTAACTTCTGTGACTTGACTTGACTTATGCCTTGTTCACCAAGTTATTGTAGAGTTCCAGCAAGACAATTCATTGATAGCCCTTCCAGGTCTAGATTCAAGATGTCTTTCACTCAGCTTCATTAACCAAAAAACAATGCACAATAAAATTGCCAATACCCTCATAAATGTTCAGAAAAAAAGAGATTGTGTCAAATTAATTGGTATATTCCCTATAGTACCCAGCACACCACAGCCCACATGGTAGGCACTCAACGAGTAACTGTAGACTAGAACACTCCGTCTGAGTCTGTTTTCTATTGCTACAACAGAAGACCCTAGATTAGGCAACATGAACAAAAGAGGGTTAATTAGCTCATGGTTCTGGAGACTAAAAGTCCAAACTCAGGAAGCTGCATTTACCTGGCTTCTGG